AAAAAAAAAAAAAAAAAAAAAAAAAAGAAGAAGAAAGAAATTCAGATAATGAACATGTGTGTTAATAATTCTTCCAGACCCTACTTTCAATACGAGGAGGAGGAGGAGGAGGAGGAGGAGGATGCAAATAATGAACATGTGTGTTCATAATTTTTCCAGACCCTACTTTCAATACTTTTCATTGGAAATGCTGGCATATACAGTATTTCTATTTATTTATTTTTTATTTTTAGTCAGAGTCTTACCGTCACCCAAGCTGGAGTGCAGTGGCACGCTCATGACCACTGCAGCCTCGACCTCCTGGGCTCAGGCGATCCTCCCACCTTAGCCTTCCAAATTACTGGAACTACAGGCGCACGCCACCACACCCGGCTAATTTTTGATTTATTGTAGCGACGAGGGCTCGCCAAGTTGTCCAGCCTGGTCTCGAATCCCTGGGGTCAGGCAATCCTCTCGCCTCCGTCTCCCGAAGTGCTGGGATTACAGGCATGAGCCACCATGCCTGACTTTTTTCTCTTTTCTTGAGTTGGAGACTCACTCCGTCACCCAAGCTGGAGTGCAGTGGCATGCTTACAGTCACCCAGCCTCCACCTACTGGGCTCAGGCGATCCTTCCACCTGAGCCTTCCAAGTAGCTGGGACTATAGGCATGTGTCAGCACACTTGGCTAATTTTTTGATTTATTGTAGAGACAAGGTCTCGCCAAGTTGTCCAGCCTGGGATTACCGACTGAGCCACTGAACCCGGCCTTTTTTTTTCTTCAGATTTTTTTTTTTTTTTTTGAGGAGACACTATTCTGTTTTCCATAGTGGCTGTATTATTTTACATTCCCACCAAGTGTGCACAAGGATTCCAGTTTCATTACATCTTTGCCAACACTGGTTATTTTGTGTGTGTGTGTGTGTGTGTGTGTGTGTGTGTGTGTGTTTTATTATCAACCATCCTAATGGGTATGAGGGATATCATACTGTGGATTTTTTTAAAAAGCAGGATTTATTAAGAGGACAGAAAATCTCCCACCGTGGGAGGGGGCCCGAAGGGGTTGCCCCTTACTGTGGTTTTGATTAGTGATACTGAGCATTTTTCATGTGCTTATCAGACATTTTAAAAAATCTTCTTTGAACAAATGTCTATTCAAGACATTTCCTCATTTTTAAATAAGTTTTTTTTTTGTCATTGAGTTTAGTAGTACTCTACATATTCTGGATATTAAGTCCTTATCTGATATATTATTTGTAAATGCAAGTTGGGTATCATTTATCTGAAATGCTTTGGGCTAGAATTGCTTTGAATTTTGGATTTTTTCTGGTTTTGGAATTTTTGAATATACATAATGAGATATGTTCATTAATTGTTTTAGCATTTTACTTGTTTATTTATTATCTTTTTATTTAGGAGTCAGGGTTTTACTTTGTTGCCCAGGCTGGAATTCAGTGGCATGATCACAGCTCACCACAGCCTCAATCTCCTGGGCTCAGGTGATCCTCCTCAGCCTCCTGAGTAGCTGGGATTACAGACACTTATCACCATACCCAGCTAATTTCTTGATTTTTTTTTTTTTGTAGAGATGAGGTCGTGTTATTTTGCCCAAGCTGATCTCGAACTCCTGGGCTCAGGCTGTCCTCCCACCTTAGCCTTCCAAAGTGCTGGGATTACAGGTGTGAGCCATTGGGCCCAGCCCAAAATTCATTTATGTTTTATATACACCTTATGCACATATCCTGAAAGTAATATATTTTAAATGATATGTGTGCCTGTCAATGAAGTTATGTGTAAATTTTCCACGTATAGCAAAATTTTGGTGCTCAAACATTTTCAGATATAGGAGTGTTTTGAATTTTGGGTTTTGAATTAGGGATGCTTAACCTCTGTTTTCTCCCATTTTGCAGGTTCCCTTTTCACTTTGTTGTTAATATTCTTGGATACACTAAAGCTTAAGTTTTCATGAAGTTGAATTGGTCTCTTTTTCTTTTGTTACATGTGTATTTGGTCTCATATCCAAGAAATTATGACCAAATTTAATGTCATAAAACTTTTGCCCTAAATTTTTTTTCTAAGAGTTTTATATAGTTTTGCATCTTACATTTAGGTCTTTAATCCATTTTGAGTTAATTTTGTATTTGTTGCTATAAAAGATCCAACTTTATCCCTTGCTATGTGAATATTCAGCTTTCCCAGCACCATTTGTTGAAAAGATTGACATTTCCCCCATTGGATGGTCTTAGCAGCCTTATTGAAGATTATTTGACCACATACGTGAGAGTTTATTTCTTCTGGGCTTCCCATTCTATTCCACTGGAGTATATGTTTATCTTTATGTTAGTATTGTACTATTTTGATTATGGCAGCTTTCTATTAAGTTTGAAATTGGGAAGTGTGAGTTTTCCAACTTTGTTCTTTTTAAAGATTGTTTTGGCTATTCAGGGATTCTTGAGATTCTATGTGAACTTCAGGTTGGATTTTTCTAATTATGCAAAACATCATTGGAATTTTTTAGGGATTGCATTGAACTTTCAGATTGTTTTTGGTAGTACTGGCATCCTAACAACATCAAGTCTGCAGTCAATGAACATGGGATGTCTTTCCATTTATGTGTGCCATCTTTACGTTTTTCTTTTTCTTTTTTTTTTGAGTTGGAGTCTCACTCTGTCACCCAGACTGGAGTGCAGTGGCCGCTCCCGGCCACCACAGCCTCGACCTGCTGGGCTCCGGCGATCCTTCCGCCTCAGCCTTCCAAGTAGCTGGAACTGCAGGCACGTGCTACCATGCCCAGCTAATTTTTTGATTTATTGTAGAGATGAGGTCTCACCAAGTTGCCCAGATGGGTTTCGAACCTGTGGGCTCAGGCAATCCACTCACCTCAGCCTCCCAAAGCGCGGGATTACAGGCTGAGCCACCGAGCTCGGCTCATCTTTAAGTTTTCCAACAATATTTTGTAGTTGTCAGTGTACAAGTCTTTCACCTCTTTGACTAGACTTATTCTTCTGTATTTTATTCTTGTTGATGTTGTTGTAAATAAAATTGCTTTCTTTATTTCCTTTTCAGATTTTTCACTGTTAGTGTATAGAAAGACATGTTTTGCAGATTGATTTTTGTATCCTGTTACTGTGGTGAATTTATCAGTTTTAGTAGATTTTGAAGGAAATACTTAAGAATTTCTACATGTAAAATCATATTCTCTATGAACAGAGATAATTTTACTTCTTCTTTCCTAACTTAGATGTCTTATTATTTATTTTTCTTGCCTACTGCTTCTGACTAGGACTTTTGATACTATCTTGAATAGACATGACAATGAGTTGCCTTGTTCCTGGTCTTATTTAAAAAGTTCAGTCTTTCACCATTGAGTTTAATGTTCATTGTGAGTTTTTTATATATGGCTTCTATGATTTTGAGTTAGTGTCCTCTACTCCTAGTTTGTTGAGTATTTTTTGTTGTTGTTATGAAAAGGTGTCAAGTTTTACAGACTCTTTTTCTGCATCAATAGAGATAATTATGTAGTTTTCATCCTTCATTCTGTTTGTGTAGTATATTACATTGAAAAATGTTCATATTTTGAAACGTCTTAGCATGCCAGGAATAAATTCCACTTGCTCATGGTGTATAATACTGTAAATGTGCTGGTGAATTCTGTTTGCTAGTATTTTATTGCAGATTTTGGTGTCAACTTAATAAGGAATATTTGCCTGCGGTTTTCTTTTTTTTTTTTTGAGTTGGAGTCTCACTCAGTCACCCAGACTGGAGTGCAGTGGCCGCGACCGGCCACCGCAGCCCCGACC